CACAAGTCATCGTGACCGAGTGTTTGGGCATAGTGACCTTCAAACTTTTGTCCACGTTAGATAATGTAGTTTTTCCTAGAAATTCTAAGACCTGTTCGTCATGGTTGCAATATAAAAAGGTGGACTGTGGGAAGCACATGAATAATAATGTTGATCATACACGTTTTATATATATATATATATATATATATATATATATATATATATATATATATATATATATATATATATATATATATATATATATATGTGTGTGCATTTGAGCAGTAATCCCATTTTATACAAGTTTCATTAAAATGTCCCAAAAAGTGCTGCAGTTAAGGTTTTTAATTTATTTTTCTTGTGTTCATATATGTTATAATTGCCGGAATGTTCTGTATGTCATATATATATATATATATATATATATATATATATATATATATATATATATGTTTTCTGTGTTATATGTATATAATTTGTCCAAAATTCCGCACCTGATATCCGGCAAATGTAATAGACAGACCCTGTTTGTTAAATTTAATAAACGATGACATTAATATATATATATATATATATATATATATATATATATATATATATATATATATATATATATATAATATTAAATATTATATATATACATGAGATTGTTTCTTCAAGAGGTATTGGCTAGTCGCCGTAGTAGATGAATGAGTTTGGAAACGAGTACACGACACTTATTTGCGTGTGTATATCAACGTAAAACTACGGCTGGTTGTGGCTAAAAGAGTTGTAGCATTTAGGCATCTTGAATACCCCGCCATCTTGGCCTGATATCTGGCTGACCTTGAAACGCGCATGCAACACATACAAAAAGGTACCAAATATATATATATATATATATATATATATATATATATATATATATATATATATTTGCGTAAATGATATATGCGATAAGTCCAGCAGTTTCAAGAGATTTGATAGCAGATTTTTCAAATATCACGCAAAAGTTTTACTTGAATTTGCTCGCTCTCGTCAAAATCTTTTTTATCCGCTATCACCCCATGCAAGGCAATAAAGCCACTAACACACAAAGGATTATAGGGTGTGGAAGAATTAGTAACAGAAACATCCATAATAAGCGCGTAGAGGAAAGAGTAATCAGGGGGACAGTAGGCAGCCATTGACACTGCATTTAAAGTTTTGCAGGTTAAAGTTGGCTTCAAAGCATGGAACCGGAAGTGAGTTCCACAGGCGAGAAGTGCGAGAAAAGAAACTGTTAGCATAGAACTTACTGCTACGTGTAGCCAGCTCAGCTGTAAGCTGATAGGTTCTCGACGCTAGTATAGGACTGCGATTAAATTAAAAAAATATATATATATATCTAGGTACCATAGCAAAGAGCTCATTCGAACAATTACCATGAAAATATTTATAGAAAAGACACAGAGAGGCAAACTTATATCGGTGGGAAAGTGACTGAAGCCGAGCCTCCAGATCAGGACCGATAATATTGCTGATTCTTCTTTGGATCTTATCAAGGATCTCAAGGTAAATAGGAGAGCCATCGGACCATATGTGGTAGCAATATTCTAAGCAGGGACTTATAGATATGCAAGATTCTGGAGATAAACATTTTTGCACAACACGGTAAACCGGCTTTCATAGCACCTAACCTAGCAATCGATTCTCTATAGCCTTTCCATTTCATGTCTACAGAGAAAAGTCAAACAAATCAAACAATAGTGAACAATGACGCCACAGTGAAAAAAAATTATGGAATATGATTGGATGAAAGCGATGAAAAATTATACTTGAATCTTCTAGCTCCCGTCAAAATCTACAGTGAAAAACGAAACCTAACAGTAATTAAGATAAACAATGTTACAATACGCCAGAGAGGAGCAATCATGCAGTATAACTGGATGAAAGCGGTGAAAACGTAATGCTTGAATTTTCAAGCTCTCGTCAAGATCGCAGAGACGTTCCAATATTAGCATATACTATTGCGGAAAAAAAAGAAGCTTAGAAATATTTACGAAATTTTAAGTTTCTAACCAATAAGTAGTCCATTTAACAAACGTCTCTAAAATTCCTTCCTGGACATGAGACATATCTATAAGTAATTGGAATTTAGTTTCCTTTTTCAGTAAATTACATTCTAAAATTAAAGTAAATTAGATTAAAGAACGAGTATTTAAATTAATTTACCCACTTTGACATCTTCTACTTTCCTCGTTTCTAATTGGCTATTAAGCGAATTCTCAACTTGACCTCTTTTAATCAAACTTTTGAGGAAGATTTGTCAGCATCTGATCACGTGATCGTCTGCCAAACTTTGTTTTTCTGCAGACGATCTTACATTATTCAATCACCCTTTCTGCACATAATTTCTTACTTCAACGGGCACAAAATAAATACGAATATTTTGCGGAAACAAATCGTTGCTACAAATTCTGTTTGCTGCAATAAAACCAAAAAAACTAGCGAGATTTTACAAATTGCTAGCAATTTACATTATTAAATAAAATTAATATTTATTCTTGCGACCTCAGTCACACCTCGTTCCGTTCTCATGTTTACGTATTTAATACTTAAAGTTTTGATCTACCAATCTTCTTCAAAAATCAAGCCGGAAATTTAAATATATGGGAAGAATTTTTTTTTTTTTTTTTTTGTAAGTGCGACGCTGAGATCCGAAGACGTATTGAGATGGCCAAAAACGCATTCCAAAAGCTAAGCAGAGTATTACAAGACAGGGGGATGTCTTTGTTAACAAAGAAAAGAATGCTGAGCTGCTATGTGACATCTGTTCTCTTTTACAGCAGCGAATGTTGGACAATTTCCTCATAGATGAAGAAGAGACACAAGGTGACAGCGATGTGGTTCTACAGAAGGATGCTAAGGATATCATGGACCGAGCGTGTGAGCAACCATCAGGTTTTGGAGAGGATGCAAACAAGGAGGAGGCAGCTATAATTTTGGGGATACGTAATGATAAAGGAGGGCTTGGAGAATCTGATACTCACAGGTCGAATAGAGCGAAAGAGAGACAAAGGAAAGCAACATGGCATATCTTGCGAGCTTAAGCAAGTGGATGACAGGACATGGACGGAGAAAGTAGCAAAGGGACAAAACTTATTGATAGCTACAAGGGATAATGGAAAGTGGAGAGCCATGATCGCCCACGTCCTGAAGGGACACGGCACATAAAAAGAGAAAAGAATCTTCATTCAGCATTTATTCTACAGTTCAACGGCTAACATTTATAAATTTTCCAACGGAACGAACCACATTTACTTCTGACATATATTTTAGTTATTATATTTTTATAGCAGATACATATGAGGTCTGATAAAAAAAAAAATCCGGTACTGGTGCTATGAATAGAAAACTACAGCACATATAAATTTGGCAATTGATCTCCTTCGAAGCAACACTATCCAGCATCGTTTCTATTGATCGACACATTCCTGGAACTCCTCTTTTGGGTATAGCGAGCAGCCGCCTCGTCGCCTCTTGGATTTTCTCGACATCTTTAAATCTCCATCCTTTCAACTGGGATTTAATGTTTGTAAGGAAGTAAAAATCGCAACAGGCGAAATCCGGGTAATATGGTGGTTATCTGACTTGGGGAATGTGTGTTTGGACAAAAACTTCTGCCCGAACCATGATCACTGATAGAACGTCTGTGTTCTGGTGAGACGACCACACTCTACACACTTTCCATCCAAGCACTGTTATAAACAACGGTAGTGAACGACAAGATTATAACAGTGCGCATGCGCAACAGAGTTCAAGGTCATTATGTGCTTCATTCTACGTACTTTAGTTCCGTTACCATAGCAGCAGTCTCGCATTGTTTTTTTTATTTATCAAACATCGTACATCGTTTCTGTCTATATTTCAAGATGAGATATTATGTACACTATTTACATTATTCGGACTATTGTCCTCATCACCTTTTCCGCATAGACTCATTCTTCCTAATACAAAATGCCAAGGTGTTTTCTCGTGTATTTGTTCTCAAACGTTTGGATCCTTCTCTCTGTATCTGCCAACAGTGTCCACGTTTCACATCCATATAGGAGAATGGAGATTACCAGAGACTTCAAATTATATAAAGTAATATAAAATCCAATAGTGTTTGTCAAAAAACGTTGGGTTTCCTATTCAGCATAGTCTAAAATGTTTGATGCAACTACATGCAAAATGAGATAGTTATAAAAAGAAAACCCAAAATATCAAAAATCTCTGGGTTGATCACGGAAGAAATTAATTCGTCAGGATAGAGATCTCAAAGCAATATGCCTCGAAAATTGAGAATGTACAACAAAAATGGGTGTAAGGAGGAGTTAATTTTGATGAAAGAACTATAAGAAATCGGCGGAATTGAACGCTATTAATACAGACAAACGAAACCAAACAGTAACACAAGATAAACAGTATTACAATAGACGACTAAGAAGCAATCATGGAATATGAATGATTGGAGGAAAGCGATATTCATTGATGAACCACAAAGCCGCATTACTATGACGCTGTAACTTTTGTCTGCTACCGGTTTCCTGAAACGTACAATGGAAGCCAAAAGAAAACACGCCAATTTAGCGACCCATTCATGATTCAGGGTTGCATGTCAGGTAAATGACAGTCAATGCACAGGTGAACAGTTGAATTTGGAACTCTTTTCACATCCAATCGACAGTAAATAAGTCCGGTAATGAAGTAATTTTAGGAAGATAATGCATTTTGCCACAGAGAAAAAAAATGTTAAATCTTTTCTGCAGAAAAAAACAAAACAAAAAAAAACATATTAACTTATTAACATTATCAGGAAATTGAATTTCAGTAAGATTCACATCACGAAAAACTCCGATTCCCGTCAATCACCGAAGTTAAGCAACAGTGAGTCTGGTCAATACCTAGATGAGTGACCGCTTGGGAATACCTGGTTCTGTACGATCAAACATTTATGGAGGGAAATTGAAAAATAAAATGCTCACGGCATAATGCAAAGCTGACCTGGGCTTACTTCCACATCACGTTGGAAACACCGGTTTCCGCATGATCATCGAAGTTAAGCAACGTCGAGCCGGGTCAGTACCTAGATGGTTGATCACTTAGGAATACCAAGTGCTGTTAGTTTTGATATGCGAGTGATAAAACCGGGCCGCGGGTGGATGGGGGTGGGTAGAGTGATCTAGGGTTGGCGAGAAAAAAAGTGGTGGTATATCTGAACCATAACATACAGTACAACATTGTACCTGAAGTGCATTTTGTTTACGTTCAGATCGTGTCGAAACACAGGTTCACTGAAGTTAAGCAACGTCGAATCTGGTCAGTATCTCGATGGATGACCACTTGGGAAGGTGGTCTAAGCTTGAATGTCCGAGTGGTATAAATGGTTAATGGCTCGAACTTATTATATTCACTTAAGTGCAACTAAACTTGGGAAAAGTATGATTCAAACCCCTCCTCCCTCCATTTAAGAGTTAATTAGTAAGAATTGTACTATTAAAAGATTACTATCTTCCAAAAAAAATTCTTACATTCTAAAAATATTTTATGGTTTTAAATAACGTGCAAAGGGTTGATAAACCGTAAAAAAACGAATCAATCACTCAAAACTCATCTACCAATGAAGCGACATTCGAACCAGATTGTTGTAAAATATTATTATATTTATAAATTCAATGAGCCAAATAATTCAGAGTATCAAAAAAACAAAAACAAAAAACAAAACAAATGTAACATCAAGTTACTAAATGTGATTTTTGATGCTTCCATAAGTCTTCATCTGTTTTAATAGGATAACCTTATCCTCATAGAACATTAATATCTAATTTCTGTAGGTTATGATTCACGAATCCAAATTTTTTTGTTTTTAATTGATTAGTTTTTTTTTACAGCTTACCAACCCTTTGCAAGTTATTTAAATCCAGAAAATATTTCTTTACATTGTAAGAATTGTTTTGGAGATAATAATAATTTAGTGATACAAGTCTTATTAATTAACCCATAGCTTGGGGGTAAAGTCGTGGCTTCATTACTTTCCCAAATGTATCTGCGCTTAAATGAATATAACGGACATTATTTGCCTTCCATAAGTATGAATGATGTTATCCTCCAGTTTGAGTGAAACATTACGATGTCTCGAGTAAACGTCTTACGCTGACTGGAAATGGAATTATTATATTGAAATAATTGTTAGGTCTGTTGCTAGGAATGTTGGTTCAGTGCGTCGTGCCAGACAGTTTTTCTGGAAAGAATCTATCTTACATATTTAAACGTCTACAATTCGCCCACACTTCAAATATTACTGCCACATCTAGTCAGGTACTTCGGCTATATATTTAGAGATAGATTCCAAAGAAGAATCTGCAATGTTATTTGTCCTGACCTGACATCTCGGCTTCAGTCACTTTTCCTTCGCCTGAACGTAGCTTCTCTGTGCCTTTTCTATAGATATTTTCATGGTAATTGTTCTGATGAACTTTCTTCTATGGTACCTTGACTTTATGAATGTTATTGCAGTACTAGATTGACAGGAAGGTCTCACCAATTTACCGTTGAGCTGGCTAGATGTAACCGTAAGTTCTATGCTCACAGTTTCTTCTCTTGTACTCCCCCTTGTAGATTTTTTTTTTTTGCTTTCCAGTTAACTTTGATCTTAAAAAAATAAATGCAATGACAATCATTATCTTCCGTCTTCTTAATTCCTGTTCTTTTATTGTTCTTTCTTTGTTTTTATCATATTGTTTAACACTCATTAAAAAAGTGCATCTTAGGGGCTTCATTGCCTTCCTTGGGATAATACTAGTTAGATGCAAATAAAAAGTAGGAGGTTATCTTAATTTTTAAAACAATTCATAAGCATATCCCCACCGTTTATTTGCGACATGAATATGTTTCCTACACATGACGCTACTGATGACCTCTACGATACTGTACTTTAAGTACATCTTTGTGCCTATGTTAGTGTTTGTATGACCACATGACTTTTCGATTGCTACTACTTAATCAAATGTGTGCCTCTTCCGTATGAGCATGCGCAGAGATACGTAAATAAACGTCTACGCGCATCCTCGCAGATGAATATGCATTCAAACTGAGATAAGTAAGTAATATGCATGTCATTATTTTTCTTATCTGGGTAGCTTTCGGGTGAGTACGACGTGGTACTGGTAGATATGTGGGTTGGTTATAATGAAATTTAAGATTACGACTCGGCATTTTCATGGAAAGATTTGCATACTTTTGATATATATATTTTTCCGTAAAATCTGAATTTTGGCGAGCGGTTTGCTCAGAAAAGCCGAAATCATACGTTAGTTTTTGAATATGTTACCCCGGCATTCAATATATTTAGACAATCAATATCTAATGAACCAGGAATATACAGACTCGTAAGAAAAAAAAAAACCTTTTGTAAAAGATTGGAACTTGTATTTGAACTTTTTTTTTTTACAATGAAGTTAAACCTGGACACAGTTGATGCGGATAATTTAATAATAAAGGAAGCTAAAAAATTCAAACGGAATTTTCAACGGGTGAAGAAGTGCAAATAAACTATAGTGTAGCTAATGCAACGGCAAAGAACCTAAAAATGAAAGCAAAAGCAAAAGGTGGCAGGATAAGCCGCTTCACGATCAATACTCTGCCCGTACCAAACAAGCTGATGTAGACAAACCAAAGATCTTATTCTTGCTGCACAGGACAAACGCTTGCTAACTAGAAATTACTAAGTACACGTACTGAATAACTGTTAACCTGAGATACCGATTCTGTGATAAATATCCAGAAACAGTTGAGCATCTTGTATCAGGTCGTACAGTCTTAGAACCCACTGGATATAAAACTCGGCATGACAAAGTGGGCCAATATCTGCACTGGAAAATATGCAACTTTTACGGGAAAGAAACTGCACGAAACTGGTACGAACATCACCCAGACCCGGTTAGAGTGATAAGACCTGTAAATATTTGGCGGGATTTAGCAATACACACAGAACAATCAAAGGTAATCGTCCAGACGTCATGATCAAAGACCACAAAAACAGAATGTGCTTTCTTATTGACATGACAGTTGGGCACCTCGAGGTGGCGTAATGATTAGCAAGCTTGTCTCGCTAGGACAATTAAGGCTGAGTAGTGAGTTTAATCCTCACTGGGTGCCCCTTACATTCGGCCTTGTGCCACATCGAAGCTACGCTTGGAAAATCACTATTGACATGACAGTCCAAACAGATTGTAATGCATCTTTGAAAATCTTCAAATCGTATCAAAATACAAGGATCTTGAAGTGGAAATCTCAAAAATATGGCACATAAAGACATCAAAAATTTCAATTTTATTTGGAGCCCTCGGATTGATTAGAAAAGATTTCCAATAGATTCATCGTAGTGATTCCTGGTAGCCTATGCCTTAAAGAAACATAGAAAAATCTACTCACTAGCGCAGCTCGTACATTATAGAAAGATTTATCTATATAAATTTTGTATGCTGGTAGTTTTTTTTTAATGATCAGTGGAAAATGTCATAAAGCTATTTCTGACCTTTCTGGTTCCGGAAGGAAATGTGTATACAACAGAAGTCAAAGGAAATTAGTATAATTAGTATAATAATAATGTTATACGATGGTTTTCTAAAAACCTGTCACCTGATACTCGACATGTTTTTGGCTTACCCTCAGAGGACAGGTTGCCAGGACATATACATTGGGTTTCGTATATATGTACCCTACTGTCACTATTCAATATACGGCTCGCCCGTTCAATCTACTACTAATAAAGTCTGTATTATTATAGGATTAGGTTGGGTAACTGACAGAATAAGATAAAATTATAGCTTCCGACAGTGAGTATTTATGTTAAAATTAGTCCACAGGGGCCATCGGCTTCCTTTCTCCATACGAGTCGCGGTGATCTCCTTAGCACTTTTTGACTTTGGAAGACAGTGTGTTTGTATGTATAGTTTCAAAATCGGTACTTCCAGAATATTCAATACGCACATTTCATATATTTAATACTTATATTTCTGTTTTAGCAGAAATGGGGTACATTATCGTGACAAATAAATCAGAAAAATCAACTCCTACGAATAAGTCCAATTTTATTTCTCAGATATTTTTCTTTATTCTTCTACATGATAAGCGAAGTTAAGCAACGTTGACCCTATATAAGTGACCACTTGAGAATACCAGGTTCTCTAAGCTTGGATGTGCGGGTGGTGCAAGGGATAGCCGCCCGGTATTGGAAATCGGAGAGTTCAGTTCAAACTCTAGTCAGGCTTCCTATATTCACTTACGCGCTAATTCCCTTCGAATCCACCTTTCCCCCCAGCTATGGGTTAATTAGCAAGCCTTCTATTAGTAAATAATTATTATCTAAAAATAATCGCAAGCTAAAAATATTTTCCGGTTTTAAATAACCCTACACAAGATGGATAACCTGTAAAATAACAAGTTGATCAATCAATTTATTCTTTTTAAATGATTATGTCATGTATTTCTGGAAAGTGGGATCAACGTCTGGGTTCCAATTCCGGGATAGTCCGTTAGCTTCACATATATATATATATACATAACCTTGGCAGAGGCATGAACCTTACTCTCCTGTCCGCCGTAGCAGAGCGGACCGGATTCTGTAGTCTTTGAAAGCAACCGGTCTACAGGAAAGAAAACACTGATTTCTTAATCTTGGAGAAGGCAACAGGAAAACATTCCACTATATTTCCCAACAAGCAATGCCAATTCGAAGATAATAAAGAAAAGGAATCTGTGGAGAGCCATGATTGCCTATGTACTGAAGGGAGAGTGTATTAAAATATTTACATTAGGAGAAGGACAATTCTGATTTCAAAACCATTGAGAAGGCAACAGGAAATCACTTCACCATCTTTCCTAACAAGCAATGGCAATTGAGAGATAATACTGTACTACTGTACTGATGCGGCATTCACCCTGGGCGGATTGAGCCGGCTTCTTCCTGTTATGAGAAGAAGATTCTTGGGATAAATTACAGAAGTAGGGTACCCAGGCCTAATCGAATAACGTTCTTGCTTGCCGCGGGGTTCCCATAGACGCAGAGACAGGAACGACCAGAAGCCGCCGGTTACCGATGCAGACGCTCCTTGGATTTTCA